GGGGTAGTAACAAGACAGGGGTATATGATAATATGTTATATAACATAGCAGGGGTAGCTAACAATGACAATGTATACGATAATGTGTTATATAACATAGCAGGGGTAGCTAACAATGACAGAGTTAATCATACTATGTCATATAACAATAGCAGGGATAGCTAACAATGACAGTGTATATGATAATATGTTATATAACAATAGCAGGAGTAGCTAACAATGACAATGTATATGATAATATGTTATATGACAATAGCAGGGGTAGCTAACAATGTATATGATAATATGTTATATAACAATAGCAGGGGTAGCTAACAATGACAGAGTTTATCATACTATGTTATATAACAATAGCAGGGGTAGCTAACAATGACAGGGTATATGATAATATGTTATATAACAATAGCAGGGGCAGCTAACAATGACAGGGTGTATGATAATATGTTATATAACAATAGCAGGGGTAGCTAACAATGACAATGCATAACATACTATGTTATATAACAATAGCAGGGGTAGCTAACAATGACAATGTATATGATAATATGTTATATAACAATAGCAGGGGTAGCTAACAATGACAGGGTTTATCATAATATGTTATATAACAATAAGGGGTAGCTAACAATGACAATGTATATGATAATATGTTATATAACAATACCAGGGGTAGCTAACAATGACAGGGTTTATCATAATATGTTATATAACAATAGCAGGGGTTGCTAACAATGACAATGTATATAATAATATGTTATATAACAATAGCAGGGGTAGCTAACAATGACAGGGTTTATCATAATATGTTATATAACAATAGCAGGGGTAGCTAACAATGACAGAGTTAATCATAATATGTTATATAACAATAGCAGGGATAGCTAACAATGACAGGGTATATGATAATATGTTATATAACAATAGCAGGAGTAGCTAACAATGACAATGTATATGATAATATGTTATATGACAATAGCAGGGGTAGAACAATGTATATGATAATATGTTATATAACAATAGCAGGGGTAGGTAACAATGACAGAGTATATAATATGTTATATAACAATAGCAGGGGTA